CATCACGCTGCTGCTGAGCTAGATCCTCAAGATGTGGATTCCTTCCCCCGCATCAAACTCCTCTAAATCCCATCTAGTCTGGCTAGAATTCTCCTCTTCCTACCAGAAACATTTCCAAACACCTCATAATTCCACTTTTTTAAAGGTTCCTGCAGCTTCTCTAAAGATACAAGCACCTCATCAAAACTATTTCACTTTTCCTTCAAGAAAGGCTTAAAAGACCCATGAGTCAACCGCATTGCCTCAAAATGGAAAGGTCACTCCCAAAACCAACCCCAACCAAATTAAACAAGAGAGGATGATGGTCAGATGTTATTCTTGGCAAAGACCCTTGCAGTCATATTAGGAAAAGATATTTCCTACCACATAGAATTACAAACCTCATAGCCCAACCTTTTGTAAACTCTCTCCGTTCCTTGCCATTTAGGCCCACACCATGTGAAAAATGGTCCCACCACTTCCAAATCAAACAATCCACATTCATAAATCCATTCACGAAAAAATCACAACGTGCCAGATTCGGTGTAGCACCTCTTCTAGCTCAAGAGGTCATACAATGTCATTGAAAGTCCCCCGCATTTAACCAAGGACCTCTAATCCCTTCCACCATCCTGACTAAAAACATCCCCATAACTCCTACCCCTAACACCTTGAGGATTCGCATAAATATTGGTACAAAACCACTCGCACATCCCATCCTTATTAATTACAACATGGAAAAATTCTTCCTCCCTACTAAATACTCTTACATTCAGTCCATCATCTTTCCAACACAAACCAATTCCTCCACCAAATCCAGTAGCTTGCACCAGCTTGTAGTGACAAAACCCCATACTTCTTAACACATCCACAGCTCGCCTACCACTTATTCTTGGTTTAATGAGAGCAACCAAGTCAGGTTATTGCTCACGCAACAATTCCTTTGCAGTAATCACACACTTCTTATTACCAGCCCCATGACAATTTCGCACTATTATCTTAGTCATAAAGATAATACAAAATATGACAAACCAAACAAACATTAGTCAACCATACATTCCTCATAGGCCTCAACATCTTGGCCCCAAATATTAGTCTCATAATTATCCATACAACTGTTACCATCTCCTACTTTCCAATCATCCTGACCTAATCCAAGCTCTTTATCCACTTCAAAAGCTATATAGCCTCTATCTCTCTATCCTCCTCTATCACCTCTTTCCATAGCTGCCAAATAAACATTAATCTCATTGTTACATTGAGGTTGTTTCTTACCAACTTTCTCCTCAGAGCAATTCTCCTTCAAATGCCCAAAACGTCCACAATTCAAACACAAACAAAAAAAAAAAAGTCAAGCTCTCATACTCTATAGGTTTAGTTACCCTGTTAACTGCATGATGTGGCAGTAAAGCTTCATCAAGATCAGTTTCAACATAAAAACAAGCATACATACCTCTTGCCTGCAGAGCCATATGCGTATCAACCTTCAACTCTTTCCCAATCTGACTCCCCACATTCCATAGAAACTTCTTCTCAAAATACCTCATGTTAAAATCCAACAACCTGACCCAAACTGCAATCTTTGAAATCCTCTCTTTCTTTGGATCAAAATGTACTCTCCATCTCATTACACTTAGGTAAGCAACGGAAATCACCCACAAACTCCCAGTTAAAGCCTCCAAATAGTACTCCTTCTCCTAGTAGCCAATAAGAAAGAAATCATTCTCCACATCCGTAAACCTCATTTTGCCTTCCCCCCCCCCCCCCCAAAAAAAAAAAACAAAAAACTAATGGGTGATTTCCTCTTCAAGAACACCAAACTCATCGATCGCCCAAGAAGCTTAATCACCAATTTTTGATTAAAAGGTAGATTCAAATGCTCATTCTCTTCCTTTAAAAGCTTCAAATTAGGACAGCGTGGATTAGATTTATCAACCTTAATTCCATCATTTAGCTCAAGATTGACATTGAAACCAGTATCAACTGAATCCTCAAATTCCATACCAAACAAGACGCAACCCTTTGCCTTCATCACCTCTTCCTCCCTAACCATATAATCACGATATGGCATTATCTTCATCTCCCCTACCCTACGACTACTGCGATTTAGCTGAGAAAAATATCCCTCCAAAAATGTCATCCCTGCCTTTTTCACCTTCTTTCTACTCCTTTCCAAAGATCCCGCTCTTCCTTCAATGGAGTTGGAGGGAAGCCTCCTCTATGTCTCCAGTGAGGCAAAGGAAACTTTGGGCTATCCAGATTTAATATTTTTATTTTTATTTTTAAAATTAAAAATATATAAAAATTATAATTTTTTTAATAAATATACTTATTAATCTGACAATCCAAATTTAATTTGAATGGTCTAAATTTAATATTAAATTTTTTTAATAAATCTAGTGCTCTGTTCAAAATATATCTACCTTATTTAAAATATTTTTAAAAAGCTAATTTAAAATTTTAATATTAAATTTGCACTGAGGTGGAGGAGGCTTCCCTTTATTCCTCCGATGCCCTCACCACAAACAGTGGAGGCCCTCCGACATTCTCACAAGGCATCACTCTCTCTCCTATATCTTGTCCGTTTTTATATATAAAGCAAATTTCAAAAGACTCTGAGTCCGTGGAATATTTATGTGTGGGCGTGGAATATTTAAAATCCATGATATGTTGGTGTGAAAAAATTAGAGATTATGTTCCACATCGCTAGTAATAAGTAGGTTATCCATACTTTTGGTTGTATCTTGTGCAGGGTTGTTCCATTTGTTGTACCACTTTAGAATTTGTGTGGTCATAGAAATGTCGAGAGGTCATAGTTTTAGGGAAGACGACTCTTATGCAGAGATTTCTACAATATGGGATGAATTATCTTTTATATATATATATATATATATATAATGTTCAACTGGGGTAAAAAAAATTTTGACTTTTTTTTACCTAAAGAGGTATAGCCTAATTACTTCAAGTTATAAGCTTGTCAAACAGGCCTGGTTATATATATTAGTATTCATTTATTTATCTATAATTTATAATATAATTTAAATTAGAAATTAATAGGTTTATTTTATTTATTATTAAATTATTTTATTAAAAATTTATTATTTATTATTTTAATAAAAATGAATCTTATTACGTACTTCATGACATATCACTTAATACTTAACTACCAACATATTCCTCCCTTAGACAGACTTTACACCCCATCTTCTCTCTTTTAGGCAGCATCGTGGGACTTGCTCCTGAGTCCCAAACATTTTTTGCTCTTTGCTTTTTTTGTTTTTAAGCTTTGATAATTTTGTTTGATCTTGTACTTCTTTCATTAGATGTAAAAATAAATTTCATCTTTCTTCTTCATTTTATTTATCTTTATTTTTTCAACTAAGATATTTTCAATTTACAATTAATTTTCCCTTCAAAAATGCTGATTGATTCACTTTACTCCTAATTTTTGTTATTCTTTTCACATGTTGATTTTGTTGATATTTTTGGATGGACAATTAATTCTTTACATGTGGGAAGTTTTATATTTTTTCTCTTTAGTTTATTTATTTATATTTTTACTCAAAAAAAATTTAAATTTAATATAATTTCCTTTTTTACTTTGCTCCTTTCTTTTTTCTTTGTTTTTCTTTGATATTTGTTGTTTTTTTATTTCTTTCATGGACTTACTTTATCATATATAGATAAATAATTGGAATCATAAAGATAAAATGTGTATCTTTATATAAAGAAATAGGTTACAAAAAATTAGGAAGAAAGGAAGAAAGCAAAAAATCGCCGAGAAGAACCAAAAGAAAAAAAAACGTGGTTGTGACAATTTCATCTACAGTTCTTTCGCAGTTTAGGAGTTCTTTTCCCTTTTCTTACCAGCAAGTTTTAAAAGTTCTTTTCAATATTGTGCTTCGCATGCATGCATGGACATCTCATTTTTATATCGTAAATTGACATGTCTAATAAGATATCCCATAATTAAATTGCATTAACTAATTTTATTGTAAGCACCAAACTGTACTTTTGAAAGGAAAAATTACATATAAGTCTTGTATAAGAGACTTATCTACTAGTACGTCTCATAAAATTTAACAATTACAGCCAAGTCCATAAGGATTTAAGTGTAATTTATTGTTGGGATGCAAAGATAATATCATGCTTGTTACAAAACCTCAAATTATATCTAGAAAAGGAAGCATTTGTACTTATAAACACAAAATATGCTTTGTGAATTAGGAAATTTCACTTATAAATTGTGAAAACAGTCTATTATTTATAAAATACAAAACATAACTTGTGAACTAAGAATTTTTACTCATAAATTACGTAGTTGCAGTTGTAAAGGGTAAATATGACTTTAGTCTATTATCCATCAAATATAAAATATGACTTGTGAATTAAGAATTTTTACTTGTAAATTGTGAAGTTATAGTTATAAGTGAAGGGTTAACATCCTTCAACCTGTTGGCCCAAAAAAAAAATGACTTTAATCAATTATTTATAAAACATGAATTATAACTTGTGAATTAACACTTTCTACTTATAAACTATGTAGTTGTAATTGTAAGTGAAGGGTAAATATGACTTCAACTCATTGGTATTTTTTGTTTTAGTACGTAGGGGCATAAATATCTTTTCACTTGAAATTTGAATTGCACCCAGTTTTCAAATTCGCAGAACCTATTTGTTAATAAGTCCCATATAAAAAACCCTTATGCAATTTTCCCCTTTGAAATTGATCATATCAGTTTGTGGTTTATATATGCTGTGTATTGATGATTCTTTATTTCAACTTTTAAATGTTTAATTTACTGTTTATTAGTTTTTCATTTTATTACTCGGCATAGTTGGTCTTAAGAGGACCCCAAGTGTATAACTTGTGCTCTCGCCATCACCTATCTATATATATTTCTATGTTTGTCTAAATTACTAATATAAATCATATGTATTGTTAAATTTTTTTTTTGTAATACTGTAAATCGTATTAAGAATACGCATGCTTTTATTAGGTGAAAAAGACACTACTACTCATGGCATTCGACATATGTTCCTCTGTTGTATCTGCGATTGTGAACAAGTTAATTGATGAAGCAATTCGTTGAGCATGTTATCCATTTCGATTCAAAAAGTATGCTGAAGATCTCATCAAAGAGAACTTAGTATCACAAAGAGACAGTGTGCACGATCGTGTTACAAAAGCTGAACAAGATGCTCAAAAGATTGATATTCTTGCTATGAAGTGGCTGGATGAGGCAAATTCTCTCATAAATGATGCAGTGTCATTGGAAGAAAAAGCAAGAACAAACAAGAGTTGCTGCCTTGGGCATTGTCCTAACTGGATTTGGCGATGTCATTTGGCTAAGCAAATAGAAAAGAAGTCAAAGGAAATGGTTGAACAAAGAAACAATTGGAAATTCAAACAACAATTTGCCCACCCTGCTACACCTCCAGGCATGTTGTACTTTTCTTCAGAAGGATTTTTGTTGTCCCACAGCACCAAAGTGGCAAAAGATCAACTTCTTGAAGCATTAGAAGATGATGAGGTTTCCATGATTGGGTTGTATGGCATGGGTGGTTGTGGTAAAACCACCTTAGCCAAACAAGTTGGTAAGGCTACAATGGAGTTTTTCCATAAGGTTGTCTTTATTGTTGTGTCGAGTTCTGTTGATAGTACAAAGATCCGTGATTCAATTGCAGATCAATTGGGTTTCATGCTTGAGGGGCAAGGTGATTTTGGAAAAGCTCAAAGTTTGTGGTCCAAGCTAAACAATGCAGGAAATATTTTAATAAATTTGGATGACGTGTGGGAAAGGCTTGATTTTGAAACTATAGGAATTCCCTTTGATTCCAATTTCAAGAGATGCAAAGTTCTGATAACTGCACGACGTAAAGATATTTGCACATTAATGGATTGTCAAAAGCATGTACACCTACATCTATTGAATGAAGAAGATGCATGGAGGTTGTTCCAATATTATGGTCATATAACCAGTACAACCCTTGAAAGAATCAAGGATTTAGCAAAGAAAATTGTCCATGAGTGCAAAGGATTAGCTATTGCAATTGCAACAATTTCCTGCACTTTGAAGGATAAAAGTTTGGTTGAATAGGAAGAGGCGTTGGAAACATTAAGAGATTCTGATTGGATGAATATTGTAAAAGGTCTTCGAGATCCATAGAAGTGCTTGATGTTAAGTTATCAAAACTTAAATGATGAATATGCTAAGTTAGTTTTCTTGTTGTGTGCTATATTTTCAGAAGATTTGATATTGATGAAGAAGATTTACCAAGATATGGGATTAGGTTAGGCTTTTTCAAGAGCCTGAATTCATTTTAGAAGAGCAAGGAATCGATTACGTATTTCTAAAAAAAAGCCCATTGACTCTTGCTTATTGATGAGAGTAGATAATGGGCAATGTGTGAAGACGCATGATTTGGTCCGCGATGTAGCCTTATGGATTGCCAAGGAAGAGAATAAGGAAATAGCAAATCCCAAGACGAGTGAAGAAATAATGAAAGTGTGAGAGGGTACAGAAGATGATCGAATAAGATATTTATGGTTGGATGAAGTGAAATCATTTCGATATCAATTACATTTTTCCAACCTTGTTTTCTTACATGCTAACTTTAATGAGGAATGGAGAGAGCAACCATATATGCTCCTAAATGAGCGTTTTAGAAAACTGTTACTATTGAGAATTTTGGTTCTTGAGGGAATTGGAGGACACATTTCATTCCCCAATTTTCCAACTATTCTCTATTGTTTACACTTGGAAACATGGAAAATAGGTGAAATATCTTTTGTAGAGAGTTTAAAGAAACTTCAAAGTCTTACATTAAGGAATTGCTCTTTCAATTGCTTACCAAATGAAATATCTGAACTGGAAAGCTTCAAATTATTGGATGTGTGTGAATGTGACATTGAAGGCAATCCTCATAAAGTGATGGGAAGATTCACGAAATTAGAGGAATTATATTTTATTAGAAATACAGGCCCATGGATTGATAAACAAGAATATGCTTCTAATATTTTTGACATAGAAGTTGATGTCACAAAATTGCAGAGGTATAGCATAGAAATTGGAAAATTTTCTTCAGTGGCAGGTTAGTGATGATATCTGGAGATCCATTAGATGTATAGGCATTCAAAACTTTGATGTCTCCACCATAAATGAAATGATGAGGGATCTAGTGCAAAGGGCATAGTGTCTTTGTTTGAAAGAAATTCATGGAGGGGCTAAGAATGTCGTTCCTGAGATGATTCAAAGAACAGGGGGAATGGGAGTAGATTTGACTAACTTGATTTTGGATGATTCTCAAGACTTGGAATTCTTTATTGACATTGCAGATAAAAGGATTGTTCATTTTTAAAATGTCTTGTCAAAATTGATTCAGTTAGAAATATGCAATATGTGGAGTTTGAAAGCTTTTACAAGTGGCACATGTCTAAAAGCATATCAGATGCTAAATATGTGCAATCTCAAGGTATTCAAATTATACAACTGCCCATTGTTGACTTATGTCTTCACATTTGCCTTTGCTGAAAGTCTAGTAATGTTAGAAGAGCTTCAAGTAATTGATTGTGAAGGGATGAAGCATATAGTAGCCGATGATGAAATGCAACACAATCAAGAGACATCTAATTGTGTTCCAGAAATTGAAACGACTCACTGTTTCTAATTGCAAAGAAATGGACTACTTAACAACAACTCTACATGTTCAAGGCTTTGCTGAAAAATTGGAATATTTGAGTATAAATAATGTTCCCAAGATGAAATATTTGTTCCCTCAATCTAATGTAGAACATCGTGGCCACAACCTTGATGAGTTCTAGTGCATGGAGCTTCGCAATCTAAAAGAGCTAGATCTTCGAGGCTTGCCAAATCTAATCAGCATTTTCCTAGAGAATTAGTATTCAAGATGCTGTTCTTTGGTGAGCTTGATATTGGTTAGTTGCCCAAGCTTAAAGATGAAGTCATTAGGTGGTCAACTTGTTGGTCGTGCTACCTTAGAGATATTGCTCCTTGCCTGAATCATTTTTCTCCATGATTAAAATCTCCATTGTATATATCGAGAAATTGAAATAATTTCTTATTTAGGAAGCTACAATATCTTTTCATGTTTTTTCTAGTCATATTATACATTGATAATAAGATATATATCATTTGCAACATTAAATATTTTCAATAAAAAATTTTGAATCCAATGATACATTAAAATAAAACATCGATTTTTTTTTTTTTGTGGTTATTTACTTAGTTAGAAAGTTTATCTTGTCTGCATGTCGTACATATTTCTTTTTCTGTTAAAAAAGATTAACATTAACATTACACCAAACAAAAAAAGATTAACACTAACTGTTTATGTGGACATTCATATCCATCAATTATTTTGGCAAATTACAGTTAATTAACGTATTTTGATATTAACTTTATTATCTAAATACATATGCTCATTTTCTTTGTTGAGCCCAAATATATATATATATATATATATTAGGACTTATTCTTCTGGAGGATTAAGATGGAATTAATGGTTTTGCAATATATGTGTGAATTTCATATTATTTTAAGTTTGGTAAAAAAAACAAGAAAAAAAAGCACATTATTGTTTTATTTTGTTAATATAATAGGTTTAAATTCCAAGTTTAGGTAATAATTGAACAAATACAAGCTGTATATATAATATGATTCTTTTTTAACATTTTACAAAGCATTCTCTTTATGATCATTTGCACCTTTTGACAGGAATTGGTATCACTTTTACAAGTCACTCAAAGCACCCATATGAGTTATGAAGCTACTCTTTTGCAAACTCTTGAATTTATTGATGTTAAAGATTGTCAAGAGATAAAATATTTGTTTCAACTATAAGGATTTGCCCTCAATGAAGAAAAGCCAACACCACTGGTATCAACTTAAAAACGAATGTCTCTATATCGCCTTCCTAAGTTGAGATATATATGGAATCAAGGTCCATGCAATGTATCAATCTCCAAAGTCTTCGATGGCTATATATCAAGGGATGTAAAGAATTAAAAAGTATTTTTACAGGAAGTATTGTGAGAAGCCTACCGTGTTTGGTGAGATTAAGCATAGAAGAGTGTGATGAGTTAGAGCAAATCATTGAGGAAGAGGAATCTTATTACCATTTGGAAACCACTTTAAATTCTTCTGCTCAACCTCTACATAACTCCCAGAACATAGGTTAATATAACTACCTCTTATATTTTCTTCTTGGTTTTTTAGTTTTTTGACTCATTAATTTTAATATTATGTTATGAAAAATACTTTAAAAGAATGGAAAGTAAAATATCGTGTTCTAAGAAAATAAAAGAGTAGTAAATGATGAGATGAAATAAAATAGGTGCAACCTTAAGTTTTTTAAAGTCAATATAGTTTTAAAATTGCTTATCTATGCATGAACATGGTTTCAGTAGGGACATCAAATTTGTGCCGTCTTTTAATGCTGAGAGTAAGAGATTGTCTGAAGTTGAAATGGTTGTTCACAATACCCATGGTTCAAACCTTAACATCATTGTGGCTGTTGAGAATTGAGAGATGTGAAGGGTTGCAATATGTTGTGAAAGATGAGAGAGCTAAAGGCAATCAGAGCACCGAGGAAGCAATTGATGATAGGCAGGCCATGCTTCCAAAGCTCTATTTCCAAATCTCATTGAAGTATACAAGGGCTTTCAATTCCAACATGTCATCAGATATCATGAAGTAGTGAATTGTCCAAAATTGGTCCCACAACCACCAGCAGGTGCACGCTTTGTCTTTCATGTATTTATGAATTCCTAATTAACCTTTATGCTAATTTCAATAATAAACTAATTATATTTTACTTTTTTATGGAACAAACAAGTTAATCAACTCACAACACCAGTTACACGCTCACATATTGTTGCAACGCCTTAAGCCTTTAATTCCTTACAATCTCAATCATATTTACATTTACTAATTTCAATGGACTTTTAATTTGATGAAGTCCTGAAGACAACAACCAAAGATGAAAATGAGCAAGTCACAAGAGACTCTAAGGAGGACAAAACAATTGAAGAAAAAGAAAAGAAATTAGTTCACTATGACCTCAACAAGGCAGCAAAAAACATCATTTTGGAATCAGAGTTTCCTTCCCAAAGATCTTCTAGTTTCAATAATGAAGTTGGTCCTTCTGGTAATTCTTGCGATTCCTAATTATGATCTAAGACTTAACCTTCATTATTAACTGCTTCTTCTGAGTACAATATTTTGTGGCTGTTCTGTTGATTTTAATCAAGTGCACATATTAATAGGTGAGGTAGCACTAGAGTTGTATAACGCAGAAGTCATTGCCATCCCAGGTTTGCCATTGAGGCCATAAAAATCTGCCTCCTCTGTTCAAGCTCTGCCACTTGAAGATGACTCATGAGTTCCCCAACTGTTGGACAAACTTTATATGATTATTATTATTCTTATGTTTAATTTCTACTCCTTTTGGATGAAATGATCGATACAAATTGATGAATTTGGCACGGGCATTGAATTATCATGAAACTGGTTTGTTAATAAATTTGAGGCATAACTATGATCCATCTTGGATATATATTATGCCTTTAAACCGAGTCCTATAGACTATGGAATGACAATATTGTTTGATATTCTGTTTGTTTATTACTTATTCAGTTATTGATATCTCCTTTATCAACATTAGAGAAGCTATAATTATATTGGCTTTGCGATGTTTTATGTTCAGAAAACTAGAATAGATTCATTTATATGCTTTTGTATTTAAATTAATGGAATGCCAAAACAAAGGAAAAATGTGAAAGCAGAAAAAGGATAAATAAGCTACATATATACACAGACAAATGTAATCATATATACTTTGTGTCACTGTCTATAAGAACTTTACTTTGAAAAAAAATGATACAAAAAAAATACTTATGAATATGAGTCTATTGAATCTCATTTCATGTTTGATTTTTAAAAATTGGACTTAAACTTCTCTCTTTTTTTATCATTTTTATTCACATATTTTACAATATCAATAAAATAAATCTTAATCCAAAGACATTTTATTGTTGATGTGGGAGCTGGAAAATGGTTGCTTAAAATCTCTGTCATAT